TGACAGCTACCGGCCACGTGAAGCAGTTGCCGGATCTTGGGGCCGAATGCCTTCTACAAAGAGTCTATGGCCACGGTCCACTTCATGCTGAGCCTAGCGTGGCCTGGAAGAGAAATCGATTACTCTGACTTGAACTGGTGGTAGGAGGTTGCTCACAGCCAAAGAGCAGAGTCGTCTCTTTAACCCTGAACTCTCAGGGCTTGAGGATTCATTTGCCCTCTTGCCTGTCTTCAGGGCATCGAAGCTAGGTAGAAATCCACGTCCATTTTTACCAGCTCCAGAGGCAACTCCTTGACAATATGTGGTAGTCTGTTCTACAGTTTCTGAAAACCCTTGCCAAGGTCAAATAGAAAATAGGCCCTTGTAACCCAGAGTTTCTAAAAAGCACACTTGACCACCAATAGGAAAAAAAGAAAGTCAGAGATCGCCCTGCCTCTGGAAAGCCTGAGCGTGGGGTCAGCAGAGGCTGAGGGAATGGACTGCAAAGGAGGTGCAGAGGCCAGCATCCTGGGGAGTGTGCTCTGGGGCTTGAACTTGGCGAACTGAGGGTCTCTGTCATGCACGAGACCATCAAAAGCAGGACGTACAAAGGAGCATTTGTGCTGTGCCCCGAGAATAAACTCGAATGAGGTTATTCACAAGGAATGATTGTCATCAAGGTCTCGTCATTGAAGTTTTTCCCTTTCCTGGTGCCTAGAATGGAATGGATACCCCTGGAGATGGTGTACTGCTCAGAGACAAAGGGCATGAGCGGGATGGCAAAGAAGGACCGTGCAGAAAGAATTAGGGTCAAAATTTATGCTTGTTGGAGGTAGGGAGACAAAGCTCATAGGTTATGGGAAACAATGTTTTATCATCCTAAAAAGATAATTTTAAACATTCTAACATTTACTGAGAAGCTCCTGGGCGGCAGGCACAAGGCTGGGCCACCGGGCATGATGGTACATTCTCTAGAGGGGTGAAGAGCTTATTGAAGGAGATCGGTGCGAGTGATCCACCTTCCGGAACAGCGCGGAAGGTGCTAAGAGAGGCAGGGAGCTGATGCTAAAGGGGCGGGGACACTCACTGTACCAAGAGAGAAAGAGGAACTTGGAAGAACAGCACAGAGACATTATGGTGCTTCTGAGGATTTGCCCTCGTGCTACATGGAGTTGTTGGTTGGCATTTGAAGACTGAATATTTGTGGATGAAAATAGTCTCCGCTGAGTGATCTGAAAGGTCCCTGTCATGAGGCAATTGTTGGGCCACAAACTTGAATGGCCTGGTACAAGGCCAGAGAGGACTTGCCAGCCACTTAGCTTGTGAATGGACCACGCCCATCACCTGGCATTCATGTCCTGGCACAACTTAGCCCTTCTCTTCTCCTTGACATCTGTGTAGTAATTCTATTGTGACTTTTTTTTTTTTTTTTCCTTTGCAGAGCCAGGGAAACATGGAGTTAATATATGGAGTTAATAAGGTACAGAGCTAATGAAGTAAGGAGTTAATTTTAATGGCAAAATTTATTTAAGTTGCTTTAGAAATTACCTTGGTCCCATATTTATAGAACCATTAAGAGTCTAAAAGGATCCCTTACATTTTTCACACTTTGCTGCTTTTTGTAGTGGAAATGTTAGGTCATGGTGACACTCATGATTTTGGAGACTCGTGAAGGTCATGGATGAACTCTTTGAGAATGTCAGGGGTCCAGGTCTGTGAATAATGAGTTGTATTTTACTGGCACTCTGCTGGATACCACGAGGCCTCATTTGTAGTTTGGAAAGAAGGTATACTCTCCTTTACATGCCTTCCCTCGACTTTGGAGAAGGGTACCACTGCTCTGCCCTGTTTATGAAGGTTTAGCTTGTGCTACCAGAAGATGATATTATCCACAAAATTGCAGCCTGACAAGTAACTCAAGCCAACAAAGATTAACTAAATTCCCCCCAATTGAGTGCTTTTCTTTTGGTCTATTTCCTGGAACCTAATAACCATGGAAACTCAAACTCTGGCCCCTTCCCCAAAATACCCTCCAAGTACCTCAAACTTAGCATGACGATATACAACCTCAATCTGCTTTCAATTCTGTCTTCTCGTTCTGACTATTAGGATCTAATGTATTTATTGCTGAAGCCAGGAAATTCGGAGTTGGCCAGACTCTCTCTCCAACATCTAATCAGTTACCAAGTAAATCGATTTTACCTCTTAAATGACTCTCAAATGCAGCCAGGCCTCTTCTGGCCCGATGGCACGGCCCTAGCTCAGGGCCAAATCATCTGTCATTACAATACCCTGACACCCTGCCTCTAAACTGTCCTTGCCCTATCCTCCAAAAGGATAGAGTAATTTTTCTCAAAATGCAAATTTTGCACTCAATGGCTTCCACTTAAGATCAAGATAGGGTCCTGTCAATAAGCAGTTCCTGGCCAGTGACTCAGATGCCCATGGTCTGCACATAACCCTGAAAAACGCTTTGACTGGGAGCTGTTTATCTCCCTGAACACGCTGTGTTCTTTCATACCTCAACGCATTTTGGATTTGCCCAAGTCTTGCCCTACGCTGCCTGAAAACTCCCCCTCTCGGAGAGCTCTATCACTATCTTCAGGATCCGATTCAAATGCCACTACTCCAAGAGGGCCTCCTGTACATCTCTCAGTGGGCATCCTATCTGGGCTCCCCCCAGCACAGGACACACGCCACTATTAAAAGCACGTGTCACAGTTCACACTAACAACTTGCTAGCAGGTTTATCTTCGGTGATCCATGGGCTCCCGCTCATCTTTGAATCCTAGCACTTAGCACAATGCTTGGCTCCTGCCAGGAAGTCCGTCAGTGTTTCCTGAATGAAAGGACCAGTGATTGAGATCCGTAGCTACGTGGGAAAATGACAGAAGCACGTCACCAAAGAGCAAAAACCGCTCTTTTGGTAACCAAAAAGTGAATCAAGGCGCCAGAAAAGTTAAAACAAGGATGAAGAATGCTTTTGGATCTCAACTGACTTTTACTCATCACATCTGTCCTAATAAAGACCACCATCCCAGGTGAGTGTTTCACACTTGGGCACCGGATCCTGCCAATGTTCAATGGTCACAGAAGAAATACGTAAAGGGAAGCTATTGGCTTTTAAATGTAAAAAAAAGATGCCCCGTAAGAGCAACAGCATTTGCTAACTATTGTTTTCCGTTTGGCACACGAGACCACAATGTCAGATGCACGACTTGGGTCCGACTGCACCCGGTGTCCAATATCCGTGGTGGCGGTTTCCACAGGACAATTAGGGCGAGGCTGTTCTTTGTTTACGCCTTCATTCATTCACAGACAACTGTCAGGTCAGCCCGTTCGTGCTGGGCTCTGGAGAAGCAAAGACAAGAACGGGCCCCTGAGATTCCAGGCTTTCCATCAGGTAGATGGCTTAGTACACACCGGTGTCCCGGACTTGTATCATTAAGCAGTTACTATTTAAATCCAGCCTGGTTCCAAAACCGTTCCCAAGTTCCCCTCGTACTTAGCAGGTCACAGGTTACCTTGGGTAACCTCGGGAAGGCCGCTAAGCACTCTAATCCAGCTAGATGGTCGTGCTAGGCACAACCTGTCTCTAGGATGCAGCTACATTCAAAACGCGGTGTTTAGTTAGGGTAAGTCCACCACTGCTCTAATTCCCCAGTGTGTGGGATTTTGTTGAAAGAGCATTTTCTAAGAAGGAAAAGATTTGGACGAAGGCAGGCGATGAGTAAAAAGCTCAGCTCGCGCTACAACCGAAAACTCCTGGCATTTTGGTGACGTGCTGTTGGGGCACGGAAGGTTTCTCTGGGCGCCCTCCCTACACAGGGTGGTGGAAAGAAAAGCTTCCAGAGCAAACCCAGTCGGGCAAAGCCGTAGTAAATCCACCGCCTTTCGAGCCACTCCGGGAGGCCTCCTCAAGGTAGGGTCCTCGGGGAGCTCCAGCCCAACTCCGATCTAACAGACCGCGTTACAAATACCCCAACAGCCCGGGATACAGCTGCTCCCCTGCCCCTCGGCTGCCCCACACCGTCACCGCCGGCTTCCCACCAGGCTCGGGAGCGCGGCGCCCTCCTCGGCCCCACCCGGGCCCGGCCCGACCCCCAGCCCCCACGCCCACCCGCGCGCCACCTCCCGCAGCCCCGCCCCGCGCCGGCCCCACGTGTAGGGCCCCACCCCGGCGCCCGCGGCCCTTTAAACAGCCCCACCCCACCCATCACCGCCGCCCCCCCCCCCCGCCACCCGGACGGCAGCCGGAGGACAAACTCATGGCGTAAGCAGCCGGTCTCCTCCGGGATCACGTCCGGGCCGCCCGCGCGAGGCGCTCCTCCACCGCGGTCGCGGTAGCCCCCAGCCTTCAGCCCCCCAGCGGCCCGGGCAGGAGGTGCAGGGGCAGGACCGGCGGCTCGCGGTCCTCACAGCCGCCGCCGCCGCCGCCGCCTCAGCCTGCCGCTCGGGCCGCCCGCTCGCCCGCTGGGTTATGCTGCACGCGGGGGCAGCCATGGTGCAGAGAGTTCATGCAGCGGCGGCGGCGGCGGCGGCTGCTGCTGCTGCTGCTGCGATAACAGATTGCTGCCGCCAGGCAGACAGACCGGGCCGCTGCCGCCGCCGCCGCCGCCTCCCCGACCCATGCCGCCGCCGCCGCCGCCTCCTCCTCCTCCTCCGGCGAGGGGCGGTCCGGCCCCAGATTGGGCACCGCTCCGCCTTGGCGCCGCTCCCCCCTGCCCTCGGCGGGAGTGGCGCCCGCCGCTCCCTCCTAGATGACGTTCACGCGCCACTGCTGGAGAGAGGGGGCGGGCGTTGGGGCGGGGCCGGCGGGCGGCGTCGACGGGACCGCGCGGCGGCCGGAGGAGGGGGCTTCCCCGGAGGATGCCCGGCGGCGGCTCCCCGCTCCCAGGCGCGAGCTGAGCCGGACCGGGAGCGGGCGGCGCGTCGCCATGCCGGCGTGACGGGCGCCCCCGGCTGCCCGCGCGGGCCCCCGCGCTGCCCCACGCCGCGCCGCGCCGGCGCCGGGCGGCAGGATGGGCTGTATCCAAAGCATCACCTGCAAGGCGCGGATCCGGCGCGAGAACATCGTGGTGTACGATGTGTGCGCCACCATCGACCAGTGCCCCACGCGCATCGAGGAGACCTCGCCCATCGTCCTGCGCTACAAGACCCCCTACTTCAAAGCCTCGGCCCGCGTGGTCATGCCCCCCATCCCCCGCCACGAGACCTGGGTGGTGGGCTGGATCCAGGCGTGCAACCAGATGGAGTTCTTCAACACCTACAGCGACCTGGGCATGTAAGCGACCGGCGGCGCGGTGCCGGAGCCGGGTCCCTGGCCCCGTCTCTCCTCCCCACCCCGACCCTCCCGCTCAGCTCCTTCTTAGCGCTCTCCCCATCCTCTTTCTAAACCTTCCTCCCGCCTCCTCTTCCACCTCCCTCCTCCCTGCGCTTTTGTTTCAGTGACAGGGCGGGTGTAGGGAGGCTCCTCGCGAAGGCATTTTCTGGTGGTTTGCTTCTGACTCTCCGTGAACGCGAGGAGGACGGTGCGGGGCGGCGAGAACACGACGAGGAGGGTTCGAGAGACGGGCGTCGGGGTGGCTGGCGAGTGCCCTGGGAGTTTCGGGGCGCCGTCTGGGCTTGGTGGGCGCTTCCCGGGAAGAGTTTGGGGGGACCTGTGGAGAGAGGAACGGAGTGGAGTGCCGGGGGCGCACGGGCTGTGCCGCGCGTCCTTTGGAAAAGCCCGAGCGGGCTTGGAGGAGAAGGTCCCGGGCGTCCGAGCGGGACTCGCTGGTTCTGCCCTTGGTTCCCTCGACCGTTGGGTTTGAAACCTTGTGCCCCAGGCCGGGGAGCCTGCCGGCGTTAACATTCGGAGCCGCAGACCCGGCCGAGCCGCCTCTCCGGCTCGGCGCCCTCTGGACGAGGTGTGCGGCGGTGAGGAGCACCTTGTGCGAGCAGCCTGGGGCTGGCGTGGCGCGGTGTTTTCCCTGTGCTCCTGCGAAGCGCAGGTCCCTTGGCTGTCCAGGGTCCTTACTTACTCCACTCACAAACTGCGGCGCTGGAAGGGATTCCCCGGCGCCCACCGGCGAATCCTGCCGGCGAGCTGGGAGCTCTCCAACTTCCTTCAGCAGCGCCGCTCGGTGCGCGCGGGGCTGGGCGGCTGCGGGGAGACCCAGCGCCGCGGCGACGCCGCGACCGCGGCCAGGAGCCCACAGCCTGCCCCAGCAGCGCAGGCTGCGGGCCCTCGCGTCCAAGACTTTTTAGTTACTCGGTTTTCTCAACCTCCCTGCCAGCTCCCTTGCAGAAGAAGAGTCTGAGCAGTGGGCGGCTGCAGCGGCTAACGGTTTGGGGGCCTGCCTTCTACCTGTGTTGCGGTGTTGGTCCAGAGCACCCTACCTGCAGGCTGTAGAGAAACCCTTTCCTGGAAATTCGGCCTCGTGCCATTTATCACCCGAAGACTCTAGAACTTCCAAGGTTCCTCTCCTGAATGTTGATATGGGGCGAGCGTGTTTCTATTTCGAAAGGTCAAACTATCCTTTTAGTGGCGGTTGGCAGGCTTTTTCTTGCATTCCGAGAGCATGTAAATTAACACTAGTCGTGGGTGCTAAAAGAAATTTTGACAGGTCGTTTTGTTCCCCTCACCTTCGCCTCAAAGAGTTTGAACTTTTCCCTTTAAGCACGGGATCTCATTGCTGGAGAGAGCTCATTCCTAGTGATGATGGGTGAGAGCCTAGTTTCTTCCTGTAATGCCTCTGCTCAGTGTGTGTTCTTATCTTTCTGGAAGACAGCTGGATGTAAGAAATGGGGGTGGGGACCATATTATTTTAGGTGGATCATGCCGTTTAAAACCAGACACACCCTCAAAAGGATGATTATATCTGAACACACGGGTCTCTTAAAGTGGCTTTTGTAGAAACTGTTTCCAGCAAAGGCAGACAGAGCAAGCCCCAGACCAAGCAGAGGCTTTCCCTTTTGTCTCCCTGGCCCGGCTCTGATGGCAGTGTGCTCCTTGGCGGGGGTCGGGGCAGGGGGCAGTCATTGCAGTCTGGGGCCTCTGTAGAGGAGACTGGGAGGGACTGAACAGAAACAGCCTCACTTTTCCCCAGACCGCACAGCCAAACCTCTCTGTTGCTCATATCTCTTGTGAATCAGTATATCAAAAGCCAACAAACAAATAATTTCTTTCCATAAAAGAAAATATATTCTGCCTCAGGAAGAGTCAAGTTGAGCTATAAACAGACATAGTAGTTGAACTTCCTTGGATCAGTGGGAGGGTGTGCCCACCACGGAACCAACTGTGATGGAGATGAGCTGGGGTTGGGTCTGAGGGACACATATTCCCTGACCTTACCTGACCGAATTCTTGCCTTTGGGGCTTGGGGAAAAGTTTTGCTTTTAAACTGCCACTATCAGTATTTTAAGATTCTTGGTGGTCATCTTGCTGCAGGGGAGCAGGAGTGTCCCCAAGAAATCATGAAGCCTGTTATTGTAGATCTGTGCCCAGGGTCTACCTGTCTTCGTGGTCGCAGCAATTACGACCTTTGGAGCCCAGATTTGATTGAACCGATCTCCACAAAATGTTTATGACCTGAAAACTTAGCCAGTGCAAACTTTTTAATGGGACCTCATGTTGCATGAATGTCATCACAGCCTATTAATTATCTGCTTTAGCCAGTGTCTTGAGTTGGGGGCGGGAGGGAGTGGAGAACACCGCAGGCTGAATTTTCACCCTGTGCAATGCTGTTGTTCCATGAAGCATGATATGATCAGAGGGTTTAGCTTAGAAAGCTGCCTTTTCGACATTATAAAAGGGACTGCCAGAGGAAATCCACAATTGAAAATGGCAAGAAACTTCTAGTGACAGGCTTAAAAAGCAAACATGGGCTTTTGTGGTTTAGGGTTTCAACATTTCCAGGAAGGAGTTGGTTTCTGAAGGAGCATTTGAAATCGTTGATGATGCTGATGGCCAGAGCATCGTTTGAACTTGAACTCATGTAACTTGGAATGTCCTCCCACGACCACATAGAACCCAGGCTGGGGAATACTTACGTCCCCTATTATGTCCCCTGGGCCCTGGTGAATGCTGCCGATGCAGCCCTGGGGAGACAGCTGCAAGCCTTCCTCTTTTGGGGATGAAAGGCCTCTGGCTTTTCTCAGTCGTCCCATCAGTAAACAAATGTTTACCAAGCGCCTCCCAGGTAAGGGCGCCAGCAAAGAAAGCAAAGGACCAGCAGGCAACTTCACTGTTCCTCGGGAGGAAGGAATGTTCCCCAGGGTGTCGGAGAAATGCTGGAGACGGGGTTGGGAACGCAGGCAGCGTGTTCTGGAGGCAGAAGGACGAGCTGGATGTGAGTGTGAGGAATGGATCAGGTTCACCTGGGGGGGTGGGGGGGCTAATTCTTAAGGGGGACGAACAGCAAATACGTGGAGTCAGGAAAAAAGAAGTTGTTCTAAGGGGACATAAGTAGGCTGGGGGAAGGGGAGCTGTCAGATAGGAGAGCAGTGGGAGACGAGGTCCGAAAGCAGGCTGGGGTCTGTCCGGGAAGGCCTAGAACAGTGTGACCCGGAAGAGAAGGTTGGGGTCAGGTCATTGGAGCCAAGACAGAGTGTCGGGAGGCTCTTCCCACCTCCTTCAGACCATGTGGGAGCTTTTCAAGAGGGACACAAAAATCTTTGTGATGGAACAGCTTTGAATGCTAGAGCGCGGTACCCAAGAGGTTTCCTGAGTGAGGTTTGAACAAAGAATGGGGTTCATGTGTCAAGGACGGACGAGGTGAAGCCGGAGTGCGGGGCGAGAGCCAGCAGCAGCCCTCCCCACTCTCTCGGAGCCCCGTGGGAGGCATCTTCCGAGCTGTAAGGGAGCTCTGGTCAGCCCGGGTGAAACTTTTTTAGGAGATCGTAGCTCACTCCTGCCTGTCTCTCTACTCTACTCTTCCTTCAGAGCCAATGTTAATGAGAATCTGACTCCACTAACCCACCTTGGTCGTCTGTTCATTTCGACCCAAGCTGGTTTCTATCCATCGCAGAATCGTTCTTGCTCAGTTTGTGACGTCCGTGTGACCAATCCAGGAGACATCGTTGAGAGACACTTGCTTTTTCAGCAACGACAGCTTCCTCCATCTTGAATCACCCGCATCTTTTAGCTTTATGCCGGTTTTCTAGCTGTTTCTCTGTCTTACCTCGAAGTACCGTTCATCAGGACGTTACTCATCTGATCCTCTCCCTGGTAATTTTATCCATCCCAACGGCAGCTTCTGTGTGATATGCAGTCACCTGTGGTACAGGTGTGTGTGTCTATGTAGTTTCCGCTCGGCTGTCTCAAAGACATCTCAAATTGAATGGCTCCAAACTGGAACTCTTTTTTTTTTTTTTTTTAATGTTTATTTCTTTTGAGAGAGGGAGACAGAGACTCTCAAGCAGGCTCCACACGCAGCACAGAGCCCAACGTGGGTCTCAATCCCACAATGGCGAGATCACGACCTGAGCCGGTATCTAGAGTTGGGCGCTCAACCAGCTGAGCCACCCAGGCACCCCCAAACCAGAACTCTTGATTGCCACTATAGCTCCCTCCTCCCCAAATCTACACCTCCACAGTCTTTCCCCCATCATGGTAAAGACCAGCCCCTGAGCTGCTCAGGCTGAAACATCCGTGTGTCACCCTAGATACCCTCCCACGTGTCTGGTCCATCATCAAACCCTGCTGGTCCCATCTCCGAGATAGCTCTGTAATCCGGGCACCTATCTGCATCCACGCATACCCTCATAGGACAGGTCACTGTCAACTATCATCTGCTCCAACAGAGGATTTCTAGACAAACTTGCCACCTCCATTCTTGTCACCACCCCCCACCTCCAGTCTCTTCCCCACCCAGGAGCCAAGTGATACTTTTGAAACGTAAGTGTTACCGCTTTCCTGCTTAAACTTTTTTACTGATAAATTCATTGCAGTCGGAATACAGTTTGAATTTGTATCCAAATTCAAGGGACAGCCTCTTCCCTGGTCTCTGAATGTCTGTCCTCAAGCTGTGTTGGCCTGTTTCCATTTCTTCAAAAAACCCAGCTTCACCCCAATTCAGAACTTTGCCTGCGCTGCTCTGTGTCTGATGTCCTCTGCTTGCTCACCCTTCTCTAGAAGATTCCTACTTCTCAGTCACGTCTAAGCTAGTACCTCCTCAGAAGCCACTCTGATTTCACAGTTTAAATTCAGGTTCTTCTGGTCTCTTTGAGACACTATTCTTTTACTTGTTACAGCGAGAATGTAATTGTATACTTATCTAACACCTGACCCTTCTACTGCCC